TAGAACACGAGATGTTTCATGATGATATTTCCTATTGCATTTACAATGTGCACTTAATATGCATATGCATGCAACACTGCAAAATCCTATTTTTGTGGGATGTAGTGTTAAACTGCAATAATTTGTCAGCATTGAAATAAACCCTGCTTTGCTCCAAAGGTTGAGTAATAGACTGAGACCCAGCAGAATGATGAAGAAACAAAGTACAAGTACAAGCACATACTTTAGGAAATGAAGTAAATCAGTGACTACATACTGCCCAATATTGCCTTTAACTAATTAAATTATATGTCATTTTTCCAAAACATTCCATGCATAAATAAACCTTTAATTTTATATATATTTTAGTTACATTTTACTCAAATGACTGTTCTGATGAGTGCACCCCAACAGTCTATAAATTCTATCACAAAACTGTAAAACCTTTTTGTCTCACTAACCAGTGTTCTTATATGCTGTTAACTGACATAAGTGTGAGCTCACCATCACTGCGGAGCACAAGTGGAGTGGGCGGGCCCTGGACACGGGTCTTGGTGACGGTGTTGGTCACCACACAAGTGTAGTTGCCAACATCTGAGGGCTCCACTTTAGCAATGTACAGATTCCCTGTCTCCTGGGAGATGAAGCGACGCGTATCCTGCTTCACAAATGTCGGGTACTCATTGAAGATCCAGGAAAATACCAGATCTGTGGATAAGGATATAAAAAAATATATTTAAATGCAGGAAGGGCTCATGAAAAGGGTAAAGGGAACTGAGATTTTTATGGGTGATGTGGCTGCGGTGTGAAATAAGCTTGAGACCACCTCTGGGGAGTGAAAACGGTGACTAAGTTGTATCATGCTAAGGTGAAAATTGATATCAGGATCCGTGGGAGGTTGAAAACAAATGTAATTATCCGGATTCACTTTAATGACCATTTTTCATGTTGATTAGGTCTGAATATGCAAATAGGGATTTGGGAGATGGGGTTTGTGTTGTCATGAATAATTACTGCTCCCTAGGCACCCTACTAGAATTCACAAAGGAGCTTCCAACAAAGATGGCGAAAAAGTAAATAGGGACAATAATAAGCAGAAAATGAAAAGAAATTATAAAAAACAAAAAACAAAATAAAAACCCAAACAAACAAAAAAAGGGAAAAAAAACTTTTTAGTCCAGATAAGCCAGGCAACTGCCTTCAAGAAACTTCAGTCCAACTGGAAGGATTGTACCAAGAAGAAATACTCTGAAAGCCAAGAAACTTTGTATTTAGCATTCAACAATTTCTCTAAACACAAGTTTAGAAATTCCAGTTATTATTACTTCCAGGAAGTGTGTCCATAAATGACGATGCCTGTGATTGAACAGTGAGAAACCATTTTGACCAGTTTGTGTTATACTGTGATGATCAAGTTTTCCTTTAGTAAAGGAAGTGCAAGCTAAAAATAGTTAAACTACTACTTTAATCACATTTAG